ACAGTAGGCAGAACAGGTGGTGTGTCGCTGAAAAAACATGAGCAACTGCTTGAGGTCCTGCAGCCGGTCCTCGGGCGGCACATCACTGAAGCCTCGTGGAAAGGACCGAATTGGATGGTGCTCCGCCGTGATGGGCTCCATCTTGATGGGCGGATTGAGGGCCACCACCAGGTGGTCAAAGTAGAGGCGAATCACCTCGAGCTCCTCGGGGGTTAGCAAATCAACGCAGCGGTCTCCTCGGGCGCACTGCCGCACCAAATGACGCCGTGAACGTGGCCGCTGCCACGCTTTTGCCACTCAAAGCGACGCCAGCTGTCGACCACTCCAAAGAGCGGCTCAACAATGTGCTCGAAAAAGAGCTCCATTCGCCGTTGAACGTAAAAGGCGACCAGATCGGCATTGTCGCGCAGCACCTGTACTCNCACCAAATGACGCCGTGAACGTGGCCGCTGCCACGCTTTTGCCACTCAAAACGACGCCAGCTGTCGACCACTCCAAAGAGCGGCTCAACAATGTGCTCGAAAAAGAGCTTCATTCGCTGCTGAACGTAAAAGGCGACCAAATCGGCGTTGTCTCGCAGCACCTGCACCCGCTGCTCGTCACTTAGCCCCTTGACGTCCTCGGCTGACTGGTTGGGCAGCAGCGGCTCAGTGTTGGCCGTGTGCGCAAGGAGAAAGGCGTACAAGTCGGGCCAGTGCAAGTCGGCCACCGTCAGGGTAAAGTAGATGGTGGGCTGGCGTGGCAGCTGCGCCACCATGGCTGCCAGCTCTGCGCCATGATGCTCCCAGTAGGAGGCGGTCGAGCGAATACGCGCCACGTAGGCGCGAATGCGACCCAGAATAGAGTCAAAGTGAGCGGGGCGTAGCCTCCGTGGCGGCAACAACCGCCCCCTCAGCCGTCGTTGTCGACGCTGCAACAGCTCTCGTTGCTCTTGCTGCTGCTGTCGCTGCCGTTCAATGGTGTCTCGCAGCTCGCCCACCGTTCGACAGTTGGCCGCCAGTGTCTGGCGGATGGCAAGGCCAATGAGAAAGCTGGCCTGCCAGCGCAGCACCGCATTCATGGCCAGAAAGGGAAAGCGACTGTCGCGCGCAAAACGCCTATCTTCAAAGTGCATCAAGTAGTCGAGGTAGGCCTTTGGTGAAATGTCGGCCCGACGCGGCCCTCGCAGTTCACTGCGGCCATGTGGAAAGAGATGCGGAAAGGCGTAGGTAAAGAAGCCTTCATAGCGCTGCATTGCAGTAAACGGATCACCGTAGGCTGCTGTTGCGCAAAGGGCAATCGAAGCTGTGCGGCCACTCGAAGCTGGTAGTTGAGTGGCTGAAGCAGCGGCACAAAGGTGGTCTGTCCCCTGTAGCGAGAAAAGGGAACGGGTCGACGAGGAAAAGGGGCCAAAGGAGGCAAGGGGGGCAAGGAAATGACCGAAGGAGCAGTTGCAGTGGCAGAAGAAACGGTGCCTGCACCGCTAGAAACGGAAACATTGCCGCTGCGAAACGAAAAGGTGGAGGCATCAGTGCCGGTGTCGTCGTAGTTGGTCTGCGACTGTTGCTGTTGCTGCTGCTGCTGCTGCTGCTGCTGGTGCTCGTACTGCAGGCGCGCCAGTGCAGGCAGCAAATTGTGCAAATCAAGAGGAATGGCGGCCAAATTGTCCTCTGATATGTCGACATGCTCGTAGTACCGATTGTGCTCCTTTAGCCAGAACAACGCCTGACGTACCACCTCTCGACGAGCCATCAGGTCAAAGGGCAGCGGAAGTGCCAACGACTCGACAAGCGTCACTATGTTGTCGTCGCCGCCGCCGCTGTTGTTGCCCGGTTGGACACGATCAAAGAGAAAAAAGACGGACGCGAGGCGACCGAGCGAAAGAGGCAACGTTGTGGCAAGCCTAAAGGCCACATTAGTACCAAAGTGTGTCACAGTGTAGGTGACCCACCGACGATTGGGCGTGAACGTCAGGCGAATGCCAGTCACTACTGGGTGGTGCTGCGCAATGAGCGCCTGCTCAAGCAGCGTCAGTCGCTGAAGCTCGGGAGGCACAGCAGCCGGGTAAATGCTCTGAGGACCAAACTGTGGTGGTGGTGATGGTGATGCACTGCTGGTGCACTCTTTGCACCGTTTGCTGCGCTGATGCAGTACAAGTGAAGGAAAACGACGACGACAGCGGCTACATGGGGCAGTGTTGCTGCCTGCCAGCTGCTGCAAGGCACCGTCAAAGGCGTTGGCGGCAATCACAAACGGACGCCCGTAGTCGACTAGCTGCTGTGCCTGCTCTAGCACTGTCGTTTCTCGAGGGGCAGCAGTAGGAGAGGTACGGGTGACAGGGAGAGGCTGCGATTGAACTGTACGCTCACTTACCGTCGCTGAGCGTGCAAGAGGCACTGGCGATGTTGGGAGGGAAGAGCTCTGCAGAGCATTTTGCACCTGAGAAGCCCTTTCTCGTGCTGCGTCTCGTTCTCGGCGCCGACCAGGGTTGCCAGTTATACTCTTGCGGTATTTGCGCCTATTGTTGACCATGTTGGGGAGACGGTGATGGTGTGGGTGTGGGTGACGGTGTGGGTGATGGTGTGGGTGTGGATGATGGGACAGGACAGGATGGGATGGGATGAGATGGAACAAGACAGGACAGGACAGGACAGGACAGGATGAAATGAGACGGGGTGGTGTGGTGAAAGTTAGATTAATTTTTCAATTTTCGGCACTAAACTGGTCATGAACCAGGTAGCTCAAAGAGAAAAAAGAGAGCACATGGCCGCCAGTTGCCTCTATACAGGGTGGGCCACCTAAAGTGTCACTAAATTTCAATCGCTGTTTC